AGGTTGACTTCTATACCTGCTGCACACTGTTTCCCAGATGTTTTTCAGAAGTGCACACTGTTAGCAAGGGATTTTGTTTTGAAAGTTTCCTAGTGATGTTAAATATACAGTGACATAGAGAGAGAAATAAAGATATTTTAATATACAGAAAGTAAATAAGCTGCTTCTGAAGGAAATAGTTGGTATTAATTAATCAGCTGACAAATTTACTCATGCTTCTATGAAGAGGAGGTGGAAACACTTGAGGCCTTCTATAGAACAGCTTTTGTACGCAGATGTTTAGCTGATCAAAGAATGAATGTCACAGTCCTTTAATGAAGACCTCTTTCTCTCTTGAAGTAACAGTTATTTGAACTGATATCTTCCATCTCCAGTCCTGTGAGCTGGTGATGAATGATATTGCTGCACTTAAGATAACAAAGAGTTTTAGCCTACAAAGGATGTCTTAACTATGATCTGTTCACGTGGAAACTCTTCATGTGCTGGAGCAGAGTGATGCGCTGGTATGAATGGCATTGCTTTGACTCCTTGCAGGGTAATGATCCTTACCACTGTATTGCTCTCAATTACAGCTCGTGGGTTGGATATTCCTTCCATTAAGACTGTGATTAATTACGATGTGGCTCGGGACATTGACACACACACCCACAGGATCGGGCGTACCGGCAGGGCGGGCGAGAAGGGGGTTGCCTACACCCTGCTGACTCCCAAGGACAGCAACTTTGCTGGGGATCTTGTCAGAAATCTGGAAGGTGCTAATCAACATGTTTCCAAAGAGCTGTTGGATCTAGCAATGCAGGTAAATACTTTGTGAGGAAAGCTGTTCGTAAGTAGCTGGCAGAGAAAACCAGGAGCTCGGAGACTTGTTTTGGGTTCCATCATATATCCTCAGTGTCCTTTTGGCAACCTGTATTGTTTTTAACCACATTGGTGCAGCAGTGGATTTATTTAACAGCTTTTGAAAGAAAGGGAGACATGAAGATTTTGGACTCCAATATGTTACCTACTTTGGTATCTCATTACACAGAGCAAAAATCTGATTGTTTATGGCAGGTACCTAGAAGATGCAAGTTAGTTGAAAGCTGAACTAGAAAATGATTACAGGTTAATTCACTGTGTGAATTGGTTGTTGCTTGGCAGTGCAGTCTGACAGGCTTGCTATATATAGGTATGACTGATAGTTAAACACTTGCACCACAGTGCTTGGCAGCTCACAAAGGTGCTGGCCATGTAGCTGCAGGGAAGCAAAGGCTTTTTGGTAATCTCCACATTCAAAGATAGACTAGCACACTTCTGAATTCATCACCAAGAGCTCAGATGCCAACTGCTGGAATTAAATGTTTTTTTCTGACATACAGAGGCAGCATTTTCAGAAGTGACACAATTTGTGATGCACAGCTCCATAAGCTGCCTGTCAGAAGAGAGGACAGAAGCTGAATGGCTTGGCTTATGGACTTGGGTCTGAACAAGCTACCAGGCATGATGAGACACCATTATTTAAAAAGCTGGCAATGGAGGTCTGGTTGGGCTGTTCCTTCCTAGCCACTGCTTGTTGCAGGAAGTTTCACTGATAAAACTTCATTTCTTCTTAACCAGCCAATGTGCTAGATCTATAAAACCCAGGAATGAGTAAATGCAGACCTCAGTGAATGACATTAGAAATGGCATTTATTCCTGGGTTTAGAAAAAGCAAGCCTCTGAAACTTTAATATAGAAGATATCAGAGAGATCAGGACATAAAATCAGTTTTCATTAGGAGCATTTGTAGGGAAAGCTTCAGAGCTGTGTGACAGGACTGTCTGCAGCTTAAGTTACCACTCAGTGCAGTCTGCCCTGTCCCATCCCCTTGCAACAGCTGTGTTCTGGATTGGGAAACAGTGTGCTTCATCTTATTTTTTCAAAATGCTCAAAATCCTTCCTTTGTAAGTTTCATTGCCTGTGTTTCTCAAACTTCTTATTCCCTGTGTTGTTCCCCTTTGCTTTTCTTTTGCACAGAACCCGTGGTTCCGGAAATCCCGTTTCAAAGGAGGAAAAGGCAAGAAGCTGAATATTGGTGGTGGTGGCTTAGGATATCGTGAGCGTCCTGGCCTGGGATCAGAGAGTTCTGTAAGTAGAAAAGCTGAAGAAGTTGTTTACGGTCTTTGGATCTTTTAAACTTAGGGCTGCCTTTTTTCAGTATAAAAATTTGTGTCAGAACAACCTCTGCTTCCACAAATTGGCATAGGTCTGTCCATCCTAGGAAAACAGCTCACTGCCAACGTTTACAGGAACAAACTGCAGACATGCTGGAAATGCATCATGCTCATCATTCATCCAAAAACCAGAGCTGAAGTATTGTTCACACTTTGTGACATCTGTGAACACCACCATCTGATCCCATTTTGCTTGTGCTGTAGGGAGATGGTAAATATGGATACTGTTGAATAGTGAGCTGCTTAGACCTCCTGCACCTTTGCTTTTCTGTTGTCCTAAAGAACATAGGGCAGACTGTGCTGCTGCTCAGTGCTCTCTGAAGGTCCGTGATCCTTAGTGGGTGTATTCCCTGAGTGCAGAGTGATGATAGGTTTGGAAAAATGTGAAATGTGATGTTTTTCTGTTGGATAAATCTCTCCAGTTGTCCTTTTCCTTCTGATTAGGACCGTGGCAACAACAACAGTGTGATGAGTAACTATGAAGCATACAAGCCATCATCTGGGGCAATGGGAGACAGACTTACAGCAATGAAAGCAGCTTTTCAGGTTGGTTCAATCCAAGTTCTAACTCAAGAGGAAAGGAAATGAGGTGGAAAATGTTTCCTACTGATAGTTTGAAACAAATTATTTCTCCCTTGAAAGTGCAGAAACCCTGCTGACTTCAGGGAAATTGAGTTTGGTAGTTGCAGCCACGTCTCATTCATTTGGGGCATAGAGTCTGAAGTGGAAGAATTAGCATGCAGGCTGGACTGAACATATTTGCACAACATTCATTTTCCAGATTTATTTTGTGTTTTGCTGCCTATTTGCTCTTTTTCCCTTCTGGATTCTGTTTGTTATTTGGCTTGCTTAGCAACAATAGTGTAACTGCAGTCAAAAGAAGCAGGGAACAGAGAAACCTTTCTCTTGAGTGTAAAAATTAACCCCATAATATAAAAGTCCCCTTGTTTCTGTGGTCAGGTAGCAGATGTCTGCTACTAATTCTGTGTGGATAAGCACGGCAGGAATGTAACCACTCTTTAAACTCTTTGAAAGGGTTGATAGCAGGACAAGGGGAAACAGTTGGAAGTTGAGGGAGAGCAGATTGAGGTTGGATGTCAGGGGGAAGGTCTTTGCTATGAGAGTGGTGAGGTGCTGGAACAGCTGCCCAGAGAGGCTGTGGATGCCCCGTCCATCCCTGGAGGTGTTCAAGGCCAGGTTGGATGGGGCCCTGGGCAGCCTGGGCTGGTGTGAAATGTGGAGGTTGGTGGCCCTGCATGTGGCAGGGGGTTGGAGATTCATCATCCTTGAGGTCCCTTCCAACCCTGGCCATTCTGTGATTCTGATTCACTCCAAGAATGACTTTTTGTAGGAACTCTTTCTCCCGGGGACATCCCAAAGTTCGGGACAGGCTTGTGACTGCACGATGGCTGTGTGTTCTGTGGTGCAGCACAGATGCAAACACCCTTTTTTTTTTTTTCTTTTCTTTCCATCTCTTTCTGGCAGTCTCAGTACAAGAGCCACTTTGTTGCTGCAAGCTTAAACAACCAAAAGACTGGAAGCTCTGCTGCTGGTGCGAGTGGCTGGACCAGCGCTGGGAGCTTGAACTCAGTACCTACAAGTTCTGCACAACAAAATGCTGCAAACCCTGACAGCCCCATTGCAGCCACCGCAGCAGCAAAGGGCGTCCCAGGTTTCACCAGCACCGGGACTCTGAGCAGCGTTCCCACCTTTCCCAGCGTCGGAATGCAAGGCTACAACAACAGCAGTGCAAACTCCAGTGCCACCAATCGGGAAGGCATCGGCAGCGCCGGCAGCGCTCCTCGTGGTGGCAGCGGTGGAGGTGGTGGCATCGTTAGGGAACGCTACAACGACAACAGGAACAGTCGGCACAACGAGGTCCCGCGCCGCGGGGACGGCGGTGGTCGCTACAACGACCCGCAGCATCACGGAGAGGGGGGTGGTCGCTACAGTGACGCCTATCGGCACGGGGAGGGCCGACACGGGGACAGCCATCGCCACGCTGAGAGCCGGCACTTCGCCGACGTGGGAGGTGCCAATCGCAATAACGTTGACGGCAGGAATATCAGCGAAGGGAGGAGCAATGAGAGCAGGAATGGTGAGAACAGGAAGGATGCCAGCAGCCGAGACAACAAGACAGATGGTTTTGCTGTCCCAGAGCCCCCAAAACGTAAGAAGAGCCGATGGGACAGTTAAAAGCTGGTGCTTCACAGCCTGGGATTTCTGCAGGTAGTGTTGTCTTTTATCCAGAGGATTTCTTGGTTTTTTGGTAACTGGTTGTTGAGCAGCTGGGGAGGAGAAGGAAGCCATGCAAACTCCCCACGCAAGTCTGCGCCGGTACATCTGCAGACATTCACTCTAATGATGTGTACATGCAATGCTTAGTCAAAAAGAAATCATTTTGATAAAGCTACCTGGGTTCTGCTTTTAAACATTCAGTGCTCAAATAACTCTGCTGGATTTAAACAGATCTTCTTGACAAGAAAGAAGCTGTTTCATGTCCTTGGAACAATGAGAAACTGTTTCAGGTTGTCTTTTCTTAACCAGCATACCCACATAGAAACCAGTCCATCTACTGATGCTCAGGACCCACCTGTTTAACATTAACCTTTCAGCAGTTTGTTCACTATGGTGAGTTCTTCTCCAGTTTCTTCTTTTCACACCTTCTTTTATCCCCAAATAAATTTTGGCTTCCAGATTGCCCCTTCTATCTCTCCCTATCACTTAAGAATGTATCAATTTTCCTTGCTTTAAGTGGGATGGAACAAGTTGAGTTTTCTTTCCTTTAATTTCTTATGAAAGCTGTTGAAAGGATCCTTCTCCAGCCCAATTAACCACAATGTCACAAGTAGGGGTGAAATCCCTGCTTTGTCTGTGGTCAGTACAGCAATCCTATTGCCCAGGTCTTTTTTTTCCTTGTAAAGAACCTCTTTTTTTTTCCCAATAACCTTCATTTGGGTGGAAGCCTGCATAGCAAACGTTGTCTCTCTGCTGTGCCTATGCACCCTCTGTTATGAGAGGGCTGATTGCTTTCTTCAAAGTAAAAACAAATAAAAAAGGGAAGAAAAAAAAAAAATGTAGATATGCCCACAGCAATCAAAGTCTGGTGCCCCCCCATGAAATGAAGCTCAATGAAGGGGCTTCATTCCGAAATTCAGGGACCTGCTGCTCAGAAGCCTTTAGGGAGAACCTGAAAAGCAATTGATGGAGTGGAACAGCTCAAATATCACCCCACATTGGACACGTGTAGTTAAAACTGTAAAATCTTGCTTGCCCGTTTTTAACTCATTGTGTGCATTATCTGTTTTTTAACTTCTTTTTTGTTTGCGCCATGAAGGTAAGGAGGAGCTCTTGTGTTGAAACACGTCAGCACTCACCTCTGTCTTGTTTCTGCTCAGAGAAATATCAGAAACTGTCAGGTTTTTGTGACGCTGTGATGTTTTCTTTATCCACTGTGCATTTGCTTTCTGCTTGCTTTAGTAAATGTTTTATTACTGAGACAAAACACCTGGCACGTGCTTTTCATTCTCCACTTTTTCCTTTGGCTCTCCTGGCACTGGGAGAGATTCGTCCTATTGGAGATCTGACTGTGTCCCTTTCTTTCACCAGAAGTAGCTGAGAAAATAATTCCATGTTCTTTCTCACCGTCTTTTACCTCAAACAGATTTGAGAACCATATTTAGGCTCCAAAGCTGCCTGGGATTTGGGTTATCCCATTTTACAAGTGGAGAAGTGCAGGGCACATTGCTTATCCCAACCTTTCAGAGTCGTCCTAGGGCTGGAAAGAGAACTCAGCAACACTTGTGATGTGCCTCGCATTGCAAATGTCCTCAATTCAGTTCAAGTTTGACTCTTCAGGCCCCCTCATAAACAGCTCTGATACAGTTTTTAGAACAGCTTCCACTTGAATTATCCCATCACTTTTTGCACTGGTTTGAACTCTGCAAGACTGAGGAGTTTATTTAGTAGTCAGTATTAAGATGAGGATGATCTCCTGTGGCAGGTGTTCAGGAGCCTTTGTTGGATTCCCCTTTCCTTATCACACCCAGTGTTTATCACAGTTAAAGATTTGAGTTCCAAAACCAAAAAATGGCTCTATAATCTGAAGCTGCCATCTGCTCCCCCCCCTTGGTTTCGTGTTGCTGCCTTTGGGAACTGGCCTGTCTGTAGCATGTGCTTTCTCCCCTTCTTTTAAATGCATCCCTCTGCTGTTTTGATAGGATTGCTGAAATTCCTCACTCCTCTCTCAGCTACCAGGAGCCCCCAGAGACTTGGATGAGTAAATATTGATCAGTGGCAGAGAGCTATAAATGTCAGTTCACAGGTCCATGTTAGATGGATAACAGGGCTGATTCCTCTTCCACAGAACAAGGTAGCAGTGTGAGCTGCATGCCAACTACCCCCAAAAAGAGTCTCTCTCCTTGCAGTGCCATGCTGTGCTTTCTTCTAAAGAGTAAAGAGCACAAATCAGCTGAACAAATCAACTACAAGAAGCTCAGGTTTGTCTGTAAAGTTTAATCCTGCTCCTGCCTCAGTCACCCCCTGCCTCTCGTGCTTCACAGTGAAGCAAAAAGAGTGGGAGGTGATGAAGATGTGCCATCTTCCAGACCTGGTGCCCTTCTCTGCCCTGATGGCCCCTGACTGGTGGTTCCCCCACTGATTTCTAATCCTTGTGACTGCTTACATCTTAGCTTTTCACTGGAAAGGTCTATGAATGCGCACACAATTATTCACATGCTCTCTGTCACTATCTTTATTATGAAATTACTGTCTCATTAGCACAAGTATATCCCCACTCCCAACAGTGCTGTAATTCTCTCCCACCCATCTGTCTGGGCAGAGCATCGCAGTGTTCTCAGGAGTGTCTTTACCCAGCAGTGAGCATTGCCTCGCAGGGGGGGCAGCAGGGAGCTGGGCTGGCTGTGCCCCAGGAACGAGCAGGGAGGGCAGAGCTGGGGGCTGTGATGCTGGCTGGGCTTCCAGCCCTTCACACGCTCAGCTGTCCTCCTGTAACTGATGACTGCACACATCCATGGGGTGTACAGGGATGTAGGTGAGGGTGGGGTGAGCTGCTCTGCCCCTCTCACACTGTACAGCAGGAATGGGTGCTGAACAGAGGAGTCAGACTTAAAGGGTACGATATCATCAGCTCAATTTTGTATGTGCTGGAGCTGAAGTCACTTTCCAGAGCATCACAATAAGGCATTGAGCCTGGAGGACTGTTTCCTGTGATGATTCAAGGCTTTGCATGCAGACATCACATACAGCATCACCTGCACGTGGAAGGAAATTAAGTTTTGAACTGCTGCTCGTTTTTAGGCCAGATAGGTACAAGAAGGAGCAGGAGCACGTGGTCTCTTGGCACACTGGCTGTGAGGAAAAGGGCAATGAGTTGATTCAGCTGCTATCTCCTGCCCCAGCTCTCCATGCAAGCACAAAAGTTGCCCAGAACACAAAGACCAGTCCAGCTGGGAGATGCAGTGTTCGCTTCATAGCATCGTCTCCAGCTCTTTGTTCAGATTGGGTTGACTCTCATCCAGGTCTTTTAAGCCCAAGGTGTTTTCCCTGCAGGTTTTCTGGCTCATCTCCTGCGTCAGATGAGACAAAAGGTCTGCAGCACAGGAGCTGGGGGTGTAGCCTGGCAGGCTGCCACGGGCAGGGAGGAGCAGCCCCCGGGGCTGTGAGCCCCCCGGCCCTCGCCCTGTCAGGCTCACACTGAAGCTGGTGGTGCCGTGGGACATCAGCCCACCATAACAGCAGCTCCCTGCTGCACTGCTGGCACGCGCCTTCTGCTTGAAGTCCAGCGCCAGGCTTCTCCGAAAATGGGCTTTTTTAATCTCTGCCTGCACCTGTGGGAGAGATCAGAGCTGCTGGTGCTCAGAGCCAGCAAAGCGGTCTTCCCTTCCCTTCTCAAATCTGAGTTTTCCCTTTGGTTATTCAGGGGATGCAGGGAAAGATGCTGCCCCTCACTTACCTCCCCGTTGCAAAAGCAGTAGATAAAAGCCACAAAGAAACCCTGCCAAAAGAGATGGAGGAGTTTTGAGTTCTGAGCTTGGATTCCTGGATGAGCATCGCTGTGCTTGGAGCATCGTACCTGAGAGGAGTTAAAGAGCATCTCGTAATGCATCTGGATCTGCCACAGGACCCCCGAGACTTCGGTGTAGGGCATGGCCATGAACACCACGTAATGCACTCCAAAAAGCGGCATCAGCACCAGCGTGGACTTCAGCAGCTTTCTGGGAAGAGAAATCAGGCAGTGAGCTGAGATCCGCCAGCCACTTCCCACAGCCATCCCCACAGCTCTGCTCTTCATTCACAGCCCTATGGGGAACCATCCCCGTGAAATGGGCAGAGAATGAGCCAGGCCTGCACTTGCCTGTACTGCTGCCGGGGGTCCAGCTTCCCCGTGTTTGTCTCCCAGAGTTTGGAGGCCAGCACCCGCACGATGTTGAGGAAGAGGAAGAAGTTCACCTGCCAACAGCCCATGTTGGGTTTGTTGCCTGCAGGGACCTGGCCCTGTCAATGGCAGCAAACAGCCCTGGGGTGCTCAGTCCCTCTTCCCCAGAAAGGATTGTTAATTTCTTACCACAACAGCAGCCAAGATGGGGACCTGGTAAATCCACTTCATGTTCCCTGCACTGAGGTCCCAGCACCTGAAGAGAACAGGGAGGACACACCAAAGAAATACCTGAAATCCTGGTGGTAGCCAAGGGCTGCCTGTCCTCCCACCGCCGTCCCCATCTCCCGTCCTCCCTCTTCCCCTCTTTGCTGTCCCAGAGCGCCTGGCTGGGAGGAGTTTGGGGATTTGGGTAAATCGTTTTGGCACCAGTTATCAATGTATGAAGTCAGCCTGCGCCTGGCTTCCTTCCACAAGCAAGACAAAGATATTACGGGTCTCAACTACTGGCAGTTTTATAAACAAGCCTTATGTGTTCATTGACTCCTCTCGTTTCTTTTTGGAAATCTTTCTTTTTCTGAAGTTCTGATGCCCACAGATTTCTTGCTAGCATCTGCAACCTGCCTTCCCCTCCCCAAAGGACTGCTGGAGGAGTTGGATCTACGTACTGTGTGTCTGCCAGGGAGGCCCTGACACTGGCCCAGATGGACACAAACACAGCAGGGAGACCTGGAGGGATGGAACACAAGAGGAACATGGCTGAGATTGGTGTTTGCAGCCCAAACTGATTCATGGTTTACATTCCACTGCCCTCATCAGAGCTTCTTGGCTGCTGCCTCAGCTCCTTGCTGGGCTCAGCAGCACCAGCGTTGGGTTGGGGTCCAAACTCACCCCAGCCAATGATGATGAGGACCCACAGGTAGTTCTTGTTGGAGAGGAAGGCCATGAAGATCAGGCTGTGCAGGTAGAGACCTTCCACCAGGATCCAGTAGTGGTTGGTGGCCAGGAAATAGAGGAAGAGCGTCACCACCACCTTGCAGCCAACCTGTGACATGGGTCAGAGAGGTGCCCACATCAGTCCTCCCCCAGAGCTGCATTTCCTCTGGGTTTGTCCAGCACAAAATGAAGGGCATCAGCATGGGGAGAATGCAGCTGTGCTGTGGTTGGCCCTTTGTCCCGTCCCTCCCAGTGGCATCACCCCAAAGTAACACAGTCCGTATCCCCACACTTCCAAGTCCCCAAATCCCCTTTTTTCCCCAGTCCCGTCTCTGCGCCCCACTACCAGGTGGCTGCGTTGGCCCGGCGAGGGGCTCAGCTCTGCCCCCAGGTCCTCCTCCCTCAGCTTCGCCTCGCTGCCCAGCGTGGCCGAGTAGAGCACGGCGTCCTTCAGGAAGATGCTCGCTGCCCGGCAGATGAAGGAGGTGAAGAGGTGCATGTGGATGTAGTTGCGAGTGCAGTGCAGGCGCCTGTGGAGAAGGGTGTGATATGAGCACAACCCCAGCTGCCCCACAGCTCATTCCACGGGGGCTGTCAGGTGATGATAGGGGGCTGGACATCAGCTCCAAGGTGTCAGCCCCCCAGGAGGCAGATCTGGGTGAGAGTGGGTCTTCAACACCTTCAAAAATGGGGTGTGTTGGTCATGGGGAGCCAATAGGATGCGGTGCCTGGGGGCTTTGGGAACGGCCTGGTTCCAGTTTCCCCGGGGGCTGCTGCACACAGGGCAATGGGGAGGTTTCCCCCCATGGGAACAGGAGCTCAGCTCCTCCTTACTTGAAGTAGGAGAGGATGCAGACGGCAACGATGAGGGAGGCCAAGGAGATGGAGTAGCCAGTGGTATACATCAAGTGCAGGCGGTCAAACACCTCCTGGAAGAGAAGGGCTCTGCTCCAGACCTCCCACAGCCTGCGTCCTTTCTGCCTCTGGGCTGAGAGCACAGGGAGAACTGGGAGTGCTGGGGGAGCAGAGGGGGTCATCTGAGCCCTGCTCCCATCCCTGTCCCTTTCCCAGCACCTTCCAGTCACCTTCTCACGGCTCCGGCTCTCGGAGGAGAAGAGCACAGCGCATTCGGTGTAATTGGCCCAGGTCTTGTTGAGGCTGAGGGTCACTTCCCAGGTCCCATAGGCACTGCAGTACCTGTAGGCACGGCCTGGGGACAGAAGGGGACTCTGAGAGCTGCAGGACCCGCAGCAAACTCAGCAATGTCCCCGAGGTGATTCCTGAGGTGCTGCTCAGCTGCAAGTGCTCACCTTTATGGTTGAAGTCGTAGATGTAATCAGGGCAGGGCACGGCCACCTCCTGGCTGGGAGAGCCTTTGGGCCAGCAAATGATTCCATCCCATTCTGGGAGGCAGTTGGTGTCTGACCAGGAGCAAAGACACCGTGTGTCCCAGTGACACAGCACGCATCCCATCCCATCCCATGCATCCAATCAAATCCCATGCCTCCAACCCTGTCCGCCTCCCATCCTCATCCATGGCATGCATTCCAACCCCATCCCATCCCCATCCATCACATGTATCTCATCCCATGCCATCCCATGCCATCCCATGCCATCCCATGCCATCCCATCCCATCCCTGTATTCTCATTTGCAGTGTGCATGGAGCAATCTGATGTAGCCAGCAATGGCTCATCAGGGTGAGAGTTTGATTAGCAGCTAATTACACACAGAGGAGCCTCACAAACCCACACCAGGACCCTGCAGTCCCTGGGAACAGCCTGTCCCCCACATGTCCTACTGCCATCGGAGGGGACACAGCCCAGTCCCCCAGGCCCACCCGTGTGCAGGACCAGGCGCTACCTTTGACCTTCTCCAGCTGAGCTCTGATATCTCTCTGACATTTTTGTCTGGCTTCCACCAGGAGGTAAATCTGCTCTTCCTTAGTGAGAACATCGTCAGGGTCCACCTGCCCACAGAGAGGGGTGAGGAGCCCATCACAGTGGGGCCGCTGCTGTCCGAGGGCAGCTCAGATCTGCTCTACCACCAGTGCAGCCAGGATGGAAATGAAGGCTGCAGCCCCACAGCACTGCATTTTCCCTGGGAGTCACAGGATCACAGAGTCCTATTTGGGAACACCAAGCACTGCAGGAAGAGCAGAGCGACATGGGATGAAAACTGGGGCCAGGATGGGCAAAGCAGCAGCACTGGCAATGGAAGGAGCAAAGATGTGGGGTTTGCAGAGCACGAAGGTGTGGGGCTGCATTGTCCCATCAGTGTCTCCCCCACTGCTGAAAATCCATCAGTGGGAGCACGGAGCCATGAGATCCCCAACCAGCACGGGCTGCAATTAGCAATACATAATCAAAGCCAACAGAGCAGAGAGAACGAAGGAGCCGACGCAGACTTACCAGAGCCTGGGCAGAGCCCAGCAGGCAGCAGCAGAGCAGAACAGCCACGATGCCTCCCCTGCCCACAGACCCCATGGGACGGAGCCAGCGAGGGATGGGAGCCATGTCCCCACCAGCCCAGTGCTGCAGGCTATGGGGTGAGCAGAGCTGTGGGGCGAGGTGCAGCATCCTCAGGGAGCGCCTTCCCAAACCCTGTCCCCATCGAGGCGAGGTGTCAGTGGGGCAGTTCTATGGGGATGGAGGCTTGCACAGGGCTGCCATGCTGGGGATTCACCCCACAGCTTCGCCTGCTCCAATCCAGTGCTGGTGTCCCGCCGGCTTTAAGCTGCTCCTGGAGAGTGTGCAAACAGTTCCCAGTGGGATGGGGATGGCAGAGGTCTGTTGGCTCAGCCCTAGGTGCTAAAATCCTCTTTGCTCGAGGCGGATTCCTCCTTTCAGATTGTCTCTCACTGCCCAGCAGCTCATTTTTCAGCTGTCACACATTTCCCCACCACCCCAAGTCCCAGACTGGTTCTGAGGAGCCGAGGGAATGGGAATGCAGCTGGAGGTGGGGAGGCAGAGGGTGCGACACGTGAGCATCTCTGTGCACTGCTCTCAGGCAGTGCCTTAACCCTTTTCCTTCTCTTGGGATCAGGGATCAGCCCCACTCCTCCCAGGGCTTCCTGTAGCATCTCACTGTACAGCTGCACACCGTCCGGGCACCAGCATTGGGTCTGACACCATCCCCATCACTGCAGTCCCTTGGGGAAGCCTTGTCCCATTTTGGGATCATGCCCACACCCAGCTCACTCCCACCACCCCATTGGCTTGAACAATTTGTGTCCACCAAATGGCAAAAGGGGGCACAAAACCAGGCTGGATGTGGCTCTGGGCAGCCTGGTCTGCTGGTTGGCGACCCTGCACATAGCAGGGGGTTGAAACCAGATGATCACTGTGGTCCTTTTCAACCCAGGCCATTCTATGATTCCATGATCCTCACCTCTGAGCAGGGTGACCTCAGTAGGATGAGGCCAAAATTCAAAACCTCTGTGCAAAACCCTGGGACCCCAAACCATGGCTGTGTGTCTCCGTAAATGGCAAAGCCCTGCACAGGGCAGAGCTGGGGGCCTCCCTGCTGCTGCATTTTCCAGGCAGAGCTCTGGTTCTGACCAGGGGCTGCGTGGAGGAGGTGAGGTTTTGCTGGGTTCCTGCAGATAGTAAAAATCTGTCTGATAGCTGAGAGACCAAAGCAGGTCCCTGGAGCTGCTGCTCACTCTGATTGAACCAGAGAGGAAAACTGCAATGGGGTGCAGCTGTAAACCAAGGAGGGAGAAGAGCAGAGCTGGCAGCTGCCCCTCACCCTGGTCCTATTTAGACCCCCATCCCAAGTGTGCTCTAGGGGTAGTGGTACGGTTCTTTGGCTCATGGAGGTTATGGGGCTGCTGTGCGGGCTTTTAGGACAGGAAATGGGATAAGTGTGTGATGGCAGGAGTGGTGTTTCAGGGGCTGGTTTGTGGCCACGGAGCAGCTGAGCAGGGCTGCAGGTGGGGGAGGACACTGGAGCTCTGTGCTGTGCATGGGCTGATGGTGATGGAGGGGAGGCACAGGGTGACTGGATTCCCACTGCATGTGAAAGCTGACCCAGACCTGGAGTTTGCAGTGAGCAAAACATGTTGTTTTCTGCTAAATTGCTTGCTGGATTACACAGAGATCAGGGAGGCAATCACAGTAAGTGACACCCACCAGCCCCATCATGCAGCCCCCACATTCGTGCTGGCAATCAGCAGGTGATGGCACGCAGCAAATTTCCCTGCTTCTGAAGGACCCCCCTGACCTTGCTGGTGGCACAGCTGGCATCGAGCAGCATTCTGCTATAAGGGGCTGTGGGGGCTCTGGATGGGAAAGCTCAGAGTTTAGTTTCTGGGGTAGTTTTCTTCCGAGTGGGAAGCAGAGGTCAGCATTTGCAGCCCGTCTCCCTGACCACGTGCACCTTTCCCTACGCCGTTCATTTTGGGCAGGGATCAGAGGAACAGAGCAAAGCAGAGGAGCTGCCCAGGTCCTGCTCAGCCCAGTGAGGGCACACACAGCTGCAGCTGCATTTTGTACACTCGTGTACAAAGCCCAGATCTACAAGAGTCACAGCTCAGACCGAGCAGGACCTGTTCCACACAGCAGTCAATGCCTGCATGCACTGGATGGAGCAGTGAGGCTGTGCAGCACCCAGGAGATGCTCCCAACCCCTGCAGATGGTTTCCCCCCCTTTATTTCTGTTACCACAACTCTCAGAACTGCTATTTCCTCCACCCGTGTTCTGATGCCATACTTAAAGTGATGGGTCAGGATGTCACGGTTTGACCCTTGCGCCGTGTTTCTGAGCTGCTGAGCCCCAGTGGATCCTTTTGGCCCTTTTGCAGGGGTTTCCCAGCTGTCAGAACTATCCCTTGCTGCACGAGAGACTTTATTTATCTCCCTACCATGAAAAACAAAACAAAGCTGCTTTTGGAAACCTCCCCCCTCCAGGCAGCACCCACAGCAGCACAGCCAGCACCCAGTGGGGACATGCAGGGGGAATGAACCCCACTAAAGAATTTGAGGTTTGAATGCTTGCACCACCAGCTCCTCCAGAGCCACTCCCATGCAGCTGCTTCCTTGCAGGCACCGAGTTTAGGGTTCAGTGGAGGCCCCACACAATGCAGGTGCCGGGGGTGTCCAGCACCTGGGGAAGCTCTCATGATCCCAAAGCTCACGGGTGAACTCAGAGCATCCAGGGCAGCCCGAGCAGCTTCCCCCAGCGCTGGAGCCGATGACAATGGGCAATTGTTGAGTTGGGGCCCCTCTCGTTTGAGTTTTCTTCCTTTTATAGTAAGTAGCAGCTGCTCCAGCAGCCGGCCTGCCCCTGCGGGGTGAGGACAGGGCTGGGTTTATAACGGAGGCAGCAGCCCCCGCCTCGCATCGCTCCGCCGGGCAGGTCTCATCCCAGCGCCATGCCGCTCAAGAAATCCGACCCCAAGAAGGACACGGGCAAAGCAGCCGCAGCCCCAGAGGCACCCAAGGAATTCACCTTCGACCCCAAAAGCGTGAAGGTGAGCACGGGATGGCGGCGTGGCTCTGTCAATGGGCGACGCGCGGCGGCATGCGGGCAGTGTGAGTGCCAGGGCTGGGAGGGGAGCATCGCCCCGGCGGTGATGCTGCGCGGTGCTGAGCTGAGGATGCTGTGCTCATTCCAATGCCCCGCAGCTCCGGGAGCTCACAGCAGCAAGAGAAAACGTTTCTGCTGCCCGCCGCCTCCATCGTAAGGCGTTTCCCCCTTGCATCGCCTCCTCCGTCTGGCAGCATCTTTTGTGCAAGTCCTCACATTTTTGCTTTTTTTTGCTGCGATTCCCCAGGATACGGTTCCATTTTGAAGCCCCAGCTGCAGGTTGTTAATAGCAGGCTCAGCACAGAGGCTGTTTAATCCCTGGAAATGGGATTCCAACGCAGACCCACAGGCTGAGCATCCTCGCTGCGCTGTGCCCGCTGCCGCTGGGCTCTCCATGGGGATTGCGGCTTTGTGGGGAGGGTGGGAACATCCCTGGGCACGGCATGGCCACAGCCACCGCCCAGAGCAGGCTGCAGAGCTCACAGGGGATGCTCAAGGGCTGGGCACAGCCCTTCACTCTCCCAGCACCGTCCCCATGCTCTGTTCTCTTCCCCTGACAGATCGAGTTCGCTGCAGAGCAGATTGAAGGTAAGCGCGGGCATCGCCTTCCCCCACAGATGGCATTTGATGGGGGATTGTGCTGCAGCAGGAGGTGGGAAAGAGCACCAGTGGGAGGGGGGGGCAGGAGAGGAGGCGGAGGTGATGGGGAGCAGTGTGGGGATTTGGCTGGGATTGAGGCAGCAGGGTGCAGGGCTGCTGCTCTTTGCTCTGTGCTGAGGGCTCCCCCTCAGTAAGTCAGGACACAGGGAGTGCCCAGGGACCTGCAGGTAGTGGCAGCCCTCCCTGCGTGTCACCCGTAGTGATAGAAGCATTGTGAGGTCAATGAGAGCACAGGGACACAGAGATCTGTGGGGACAGATTCAGGGGATGGTGACATTCAGCAGGAAATACAAAGATGCCAAGTAGAAAACCCAAAGCCCCAGACAGGAATTCCCAGCAAACCCAACAAAATATCCACCAGCCCATCGTGTCTCCATCACCACACGAAGACAATGACCGCCCCATCCCACCCAGCAGCTGCTCTGCTATCAGTGAGCTGCTGCTGAGCATCACCAAGGAGATGGACCAGAACCTGGAACTCATTAACGCCATGACCATTAAGCTCTCAGCTCTGAGCGTCCACATGGACCGGCTGGAAGGGCTGATCACACACCTGGCCCACTTGGCTGCTCGGAGGCAGCAGGATGAAATCCAGGAGCGTGCAGAGCATCTGCTGCAGGAAAAGCAATTCCTGCCTGCTCATGTGGGGCTGCTGGGGAAATGGGCACCGGGCACCAGATTTGGAGCCCATGGCTTCACCCAGGAACAGAAGGAATGGGGGGATCTTGAAGAACTGAGTTCTTCACATTTTGTGCCTCAACAGCAGCGAGGAGTCAGAGATGAGGCTCTGAGCAGTGCAGGCATGTGGAGTTCATGTAGTCAATGCATAGACCACATATAGTTAACATATAGCCAATGTGTAGTCAGTGTCTGTATTCAAGTTGGAATCCAGCAGTAAGTTAGGAAGCTGAAAAGCATCAAGTAAGGCAGGAAGGCAATACTGATCTAGGCTTCCTTCCTCCAGGTAAAAGGCAATGCTCTAAAGGTGACAATTTGAGCTTGGAAATGAATCTCCTGCATCCTTCCAAGCAGGGATGTGGAGATGGTGGTGGAGATGGTGGCCCACACACTGACCTACACCAGCAGTATCACACAGTGCCCACCTGGCTGGGTGTGATGGAGCAGATGGGGCACTGCAGGTGTCACTGGGGAGGGAGGGTTGAGTGGTCTGTAGGAGACCTGAGCCAAGGAGGGGAAGAGAGAAGGAGATGTTCTGCAATGGGTACAGCAGCCTGCAGCTGGAGCTGGTGCTCAAGGCAGTGCAAGAAGCCCAGCAGGATTCACCCATCCAGCTCCTTGGGGGTGGCAAAACCAGCTGGAGGAGCCAAGTGACTTCTTAAAGGAGTCTGTGAGCTTCAAGGCTCACCGCCAGGGCTGGGTGCAGCAGCGATGTGTGCAGAGGGCACCCACCACACGTGTGTCCCTCCCTCTCCTCCCACCCTGCTCCTGGTGGGGTGGGAATGGGGCAGCCACAGGCAGGGACAGCTGAGCTCTTCCTCCCCACAGAGTTCAAGGAAGCCTTCAGCCTGTTTGACCGGACGCCCACGGGAGCCATGCAGATCTCCTACGCGCAGTGCGGGGACGTCCTGCGGGCTCTGGGTCACAACCCCACCAACGCTGAGGTCCTGAAGGTGCTGGGCAAACCCAAACCAGAAGGTGACAGCATGCTGGGGCTGTGGGGATGGGGTGGGACAAGTGAACTCTGAGAGCCGCTGAAGGATCGTGTTCCCTGAGCCCGGTGAGATGAAGGAACTGGAAAGGAGTGACACAGAGAGGCTTCATTCCTGTGTAATTCCTTCCTATACACACCTGTAGCACGACTGATCCAAGGGATAGGCTCTCCCAGTGGGGATGCTGGCAGGGATACCAGCAGACAGGATCCTGAGTGGTGCAAACCAGCATCATCCAATTCCAGCGCAGGGACAGTTTGGTGAAAGAGGATTAGCTGCTGGTTTTAATTTTTGGCAGTCCCTAGGTTATAATTATTCTTGCCATCTTATTAGTGTACTGACAGTCCCATCACCTCGTGAGCCTTCTTTCCCCACGCTCAGATGGAAACAAGACCCAGAAAGTCTAAGGAGGTCCTTGGGGGCTGACCTCGGGTGTATCTCTGACCCCATCTCCTCCTCCGCCTTCAGACATGAACACGAAGATGCTGGACTTTGAGACCTTCCTCCCCATCCTGCAGCACTTCACCCGCACCAGGGAGCAGGGCACCTTCGAGGACTTTGTGGAAGGGCTGCGCGTCTTCGACAAGGAAGGCAACGGCCTGGTGATGGGAGCAGAGCTGCGCCACGTGCTGGTCACGCTGGGTATGGCTGCCTGGAAGGAACAGCACAGATAGCCACCCCTCTATGAGCTCTTTTTGGGCAAATGGCCCGGGTTAGTTGGCTGGATTAGTCAGTTGGCTGGTCCCACGCACTAGAAGGAGTTGATGGCTCCCAAATATGTGGCTTTTCCCATGTTAAGCCATTGTTTCGTGTCTGACCCAAGGGGAGCTGGAGAATCCACATCACCCTGAGCTATCAGCCAATGGTTGCACTTTGGTCCTCCCTCCACAATCTCCCACCAGCACTCCCCAGCCCATTGCAGTGCACAACTCCTTTTTAACCCCCTCTTCAACTCCTTTCCCCTCTTTCTGGTGGCTTTTGGCTGTCTGGAAGAAGGACAGGAGGGTCGCAGCAGGGTGAGAGCCTTCCTCTCACCTCTCCATCCTCCTCCTCCAGGAGAGAAGATGACAGAAAGCGAGGTGGAGCAGCTCATGGCAGGACAAGAAGACGCCAACGGCTGCATCAACTACGAAGGTACATCCCAGACACAGTGCTCTGGTCCTGGAGTGCAAAATGTCCTCTGTGAGGACTCAAGTGATCCCCAAGAGGGAGGTGGGGACCATCTTCCATAGAGAGCTGTGATGTGTCACCAGGGGTGGGAATATGGTGGTTGTGGCAGTGATGTCCTGAGGACAGCATGTTTCCAAGGGTTTGGGGACTGTTTTATCCCCACTCCTGGCGCTGTTTTGATTTAAGCTATCAAAAATAAACAAAGCCAGCATCTTTCACAGCAGAAGCTAATCGGGAACATTTGGAGGCACAGATTGCTTGTGGCTCCAAGAAGGTGAAAATCTGGCGTGAAGTCTGGGAACCCCTAAAATTGGAGAGCACTGAGGAAAAGAGGGTTTCTGTCCCCTGTGGCCTCAGATAACCAGGGACAGTGCAGCTGGTTTATCTCCAGGAGGGGCTGGGGGTCTCTCGCTGGGGGTTTGCACATGAAAAGTGGGAACAGAAGGAGGCGTCCAGGTCCTGGCAGAGCATCTCTGCTGCAGCGAGTCCCTTTTGTCCCTGGGTGCCCCCAGCACAGCCCGCAGCGTGTCTGAGAGCTCATTTCTCATTTCCTCCCCAGCTTTTGTCAAGCACATCATGTCTGGCTGAGCCGAGGAACTTCAGGTGGGTCACTCGGGGTCTCCCCTGTTTGCTGCAAGGCTGGAAACCCTGCGTGCAGGGGCCAGGGGCAGAAGACACCAAACCCACACCCACAGGCAGCCCTTGCAGCAGCAATCCCCCAAGGCTGTGTTTGTGCAGTGCACTGCATCTGTAACACACCAGTGGAAAGAATTATTAAAAAAAAACCAGAAGGTTAAAATCGAAGGAGGCAGAAGTCTGAGCTCTGAAGGGCCTGCACTCGTTTCATTTTGGTTTTAATCTGTTTCTCCCCAGCTCCCATTCATAAGTGCATCCACAGAGGTGGTTGGGTGGCAGATGCTGCCAGGGAGGTTTAACTCTACACAAAGCTACTTGCATGAAACTGTTTGTTTGTTTGTTTTATAATGGCATTTTGGGTTCACCCGGTGCTCCCATCGCAATGGTTCACTGTGTTAATCCCTCTCATGCTTTTCTCCCAGATTCTTGGAGGTGATGGAATCCATCTTAGCCCCACAAACCACGAGATTCCTACATCCATGTCCCCCCTTCCCCAGAGGTCCCCCGAAGGCAGAAGAGTTCCACAAGAACAGTCAGCCTCCATGAACCTGCCCCAGTGGGTTTACAGTGGGACAAGTCTGCACCCTGGTTCTAAGCCTTAAATTATTCTTTTCAGGTTTTTCCTGTGCCATTTGCATCATTAAACCTCATTCCATCCTCCCTTATGTGGTCTCTGTGCTTTGGCTTTGGGCTGATCATAAAGTAGTGGGTGGGGAGCTCAGGCCCTAGCAACCTGAGGGGGCAGGATGCTCTCACAGCATGGGAAGAAAGGGAAAACAGTGGGTGGCCTCCAGATAGGAGGGAGGAGCTCAGGCATGGCGTGAAGGTCTTTGCTCATCTCCCTGACTTTGCTGTGGGTTGAGGGACTTGCTCGGGAAGGAAGCTGCGGGAAGGAAGACTTGGAGAAAAGTGAGCACAAGGGATAAGCAGCACCCACACTCCTGTTTCTGGGACACATCTTAAAGCCCTATGGATCTGTAGCCCATCTGTGATACAGCGTGCTGCATTGTGAGCATTCCCTGCAGGTCTAAGCTGAACACTATGGAGCAAAGAGGGACACGCTTGGCCCTGCTGCTGTGTGGTTAGCATCCTATATCCCAACCAGGACCATGCTCCCTGTATGGCTTTGGTGCAGCCACCCTGATGCATGAATAGCATCCTATAAAGCCCAGACAGATTGTGCCCCCTGACTGGCTCTGGTACACACACAGTGCAGCCAGGAGCCATCTAGGGCTGTGCAATGTGAGCTGGAAGCTCCCTTTCTACCTGTGAAAATCGTTCTAGCATCCTTAGAAGCGGTGAATAATTCATGAGAGATAACTCAGCCCTCCCATCAGTAGAGCACCTGGGAGCGGATAATGTTTGCTTTGTTCCTTATTCCAGTGCCCTCACTCCATGGCTCGGACTGGCAGTTTAAAGCATTTTCCATCAGCGTGGCTGATTTCAGCCACCACTCGCTCATTTCTGTACAGTGCCTGAGCAGCAGCTGCTTCCAATTCCCACTGCTTGATATGAGTGGTCATAAAAAGCAACATAAGCTGTTTAGAGATGCAAGATTAGATTTCTAGCTTCTGTCTCTGGTATTTCTACAGCTTCCACTAGGGAGAATCTGGGCATTTCATGCCTTTGAAGTGCAGTCTGTGATCTAACCTGGCAAAGGACGGTGGTGAAAGGGCACAATGGGACACCACTTGCTGCACTTTGGGGTCGTGACACTGCAGTGGCATTGCTCATGAGGAGGATCGTGCTGTTACAGATGGGAAAGAAGCAGAGAGGCAAAGGATCTGCCCAAACCCACAGAGGAAATGTGCAGCAGGGGCTGGGGGCCCCGCTGGCTGTGATGTTCCTGCCTCAGCAAGTCAGAGGCTGCGCTTCTGCTCCTGCACACAGAGCGCGTTCCAGCCTCCAGCTCCTGTGCAGACAGGAATGACACTGTAAATTAAAAGCAAAGAGGCTCTTGCAGGCAGGCAGGCAGGCAGAGAGCAGTGGAAAAAGACAGGGAGGACTACAGAAGAATGTGAGGGCTGATAACTCCAGCTTCTGCAGCAGCCCCGGGGTACGTCAGCCATGCTGTGCTCTGGGGATCTGCTCTGTCTCTCCAGGGCAATGAGAAGTAGATTCATATTGAGGCAGGTTGTGTTCGGACAGGCACAGCACATACATCTATCTCTGCACAGCTGTGCTCCTCTACGTGCCTCTGTGCCCAGCCTCCTGGGTGCTGAGGAGTGGTTTCAGTCCCCATGGACGTTTACACAAAGCATCCACTGACCTCATACACAGATCTGCATGGCTACAGGCGGCTCTGCAGATCAAGATGTCCCAAGACAAGAGTTCAGGCTGTTGCCCTTTCAGAGTTCAAACACTTCACTGGAAGCCCTGGAGATTCCAAGAAGTAAAAAAAAAACCTCCCACTCTCAGGAGAGCCTGTTGCCATATCTCCTCAGCCTGTGATAAGGCAGAGGTTCATACCAAAGATGGCCTGGGTGTCAGAAGAAGGCTGTGTGCAACAGCAGGCAAACAGAGCTTCCACCCCAGGAGCTCTCAGCATGCAGAGGGGAAGAGACTGGGGCAAGGATGACAAAAACAGAGCGGGCTCCTTGGAATGCAGCCTCACGCACGCACACTCACGTATGCACGTACCACCATCACTTACGGAAAGGTTCTGCTGCGTTTGGGGCAAAATGGCTCAGGAGTTGAACTCAGTGATCCCTATGGGTCCCTTCCAACTTGGGGTATTCTATGACACTATGACAGCAACCCAGTTGGGAGGCAGGTGTCCATCCCAGGGACAGCACTGCTGCGTGACACATTTTGTCATTGGAGGTGAGCGCTGCCTTTCCATGCCAGCCTGCTCACGCCCTGAAAGCAAACACCTGCAGATCTGCTGGAGCGATAGCAATCTCACAAATACGCTTTTCAGAAAAGCAGAGAACGGTGCACAAAGGGACTGGGGAACAGGCTGAGCCCATTGCTCCACGCACACAGCTTTATTTCAAAGCTTTGGGCGCTGTTGATAGTGATAGGACAAAGGGGAATGGTTTTAAAGTGAGACAGGGGAGGTTTAGGTTGGATATGAGGAGGCAGTTTTTCAGCCAGAGGGTGGTGAGGCACTGGAACAGGTTGCCCAAGGAGGCTGTGGATGCCCCATCCCTGCAGGCATCCAAGGCCAGGCTGGATGTGGCTCTGGGCAGCCTGGGCTGCTGGTTGGCGACCTGCACACAGCAGGGGGTTGGAACCAGGTGAGCACTGTGCTCCTTTTCAACCCATTCTATGGTTCTGTGACTGAGTGCCCCTCAGTCAGCCCGCAGGTGACACCACGCCTGCAGCAATCACAACTGTCACAATTGTCACAAGGACACAAATCTGCCCATTTTTTGCTGCCGTTCTCCCAGCCCTGAATTGCAGCAGAACTGCCGTGGGTTTTTTATTTTTTGCATTGTGAGGATTTCCAAGGAAAAGCTCTCTGTAATCAAAGCTCCACCGTTTAAAACTTGACCCGACCCTCCCCCCCCCAAAAAAAACGCAACCCAGTAAGCTTCGGTTAATGATTTGTAGATCGTTACAGAATGACTTTTATGGCTTAATGACAGATAACGTGGATGGAATTACCACAGAGGTGTGGGCCAGTACCTTCAGCGCTCTGTGGGAGGAGACCCAGGCCCCTCGACCACCACGAGGGACTCTGAGGTTTCCTGACTAGCCCCGAAGTCCCATCTTTTTGGTAAAAAAAAAACCAAACAAAAAACAAAAAAGAACCCAAAACCGCGCAATTTTTAATTTTATTGGCAAAAACGTGATTCCAAGGCCGCTCGAGACCTCAGGGCCGCCGCCCCCCGCTGTGAGGGGCGCAACCGCCCGCCGCCCCTCAGCGCCCGCCCCGCCCCGCCTCAGCGCTCGGCTCTCTCCGGCCGCACTCGGGCGGTTCCGCCGGCTGAGGCGCTTCCGTTTGGCTGACGAGAGGGCTTTCCCAGCTGTTTTCCGTCAGCGCTCGGCTCTTTCCGCCCGGCGCTTCGGCTGTTTCCGGCAGCGGGTTCGGCTATTTCCGCCGGCGGCTTCGGGCGGACTCGGCGTTTGGCCCACCTCGTTCCTTCCCTCCCCGCCGCCTGCCCCGGTAACGGTCGCTGCGAGTTTAAATGAGCGGGGGCCGGGCCGCGCCGCGCCGCCGCCGGGACACGCAGTGAGGCGGGGCCGCCCCGCTCCGCGCTCGGCGAGGAGGAGCAGGAGGCGGAGGAGGCCGAGGGGAGCAGGATGACGGTGCTGCAGGAACCCGTCCAGGTACCGACCCCCGGGCGGACGGGCTCGGGCCGCCGCCGCTCTCAGGCCCCGAGGCCCGGCGTGGCTCCGCCCGCCTCGTCGGGCCCTTTCCTGAGGCCGAGGAAGGCCGCTCCGCTCGGGCCGCTCCCGGGGGCGGCTCTCGGTGTCCCTTCCTCGGCAGCGGGGCCCTACGGCGGCTCTCCGGGCCCCGTCGCAGCTCTGCGCGCCCTCCCGGGTTCCCTCGGCCGCCCCGTGCGCCGTACGGAGCGCCCCGCCGCCCCTTCGGGCTGCCCTGGGCCGGGGCTGGCCGCCCCCCCGTCGCCCTGCAGGCGGCACGGGGCCGCTCGGCTCCCCCGCAGCTCCCCGGGGGGACCTGTTGAGCCCCGTTGAGCCGTTCTCGCTCGTCTCTGCGCTGCTGTCTCCTTTCGAAACGTGCTCGGCTCCCGGCTGACGACGTGCCTCGTTCCCCAGGAGTTGGTGTGGAGAGTTTGTATCTCTGCAGCGGGAGAGAAAATACCGTCGTTGTGTTTTTTTTCTACCGTCTTTCATGTCCTGCCTTGATGGGCTTCCTGCTCTCGTTCTCAGTCACCCCATTGCAAAGGCATGATTTACGGAATAAGAGTTGGCTGTTTCTTCCTACCTTTTTCCCTTATATGCTTTACTCTAACTGTGTGATTTTCTGCTAACAATATCATAATCCCATTCATGTTCTCTTTTTATTTTTAGCTTCTTAATGCGTTTATTTTTCTCGTTATCTTTGGAACTGTAAGCATCTCGGTAGTACAGAAATGATTTTCTGTAACAAGCGTAGTGAAGAGTCTGGCTTTGGTTCCTTCCTTCAAGGAAAAGAGGATGAGGAGAGGATGGAAGGACTTCTGTGGAAAATCACCACCCTGCTGGCCTGACCTTGCCTGTGTGAGATAGAGGCAGCGATGGCACTCTCATAGAGCAGGGCCTTGCATTTGTGATGCTGCTGTTCTGCTGCTCTGCTCAGAGAGCGAGGGACAACGTGTTGGTAGGGGTTGGATTTGTGCTGTTGCTTTTTTAGCAGCTGGGTGTTCTAGGAAAACATGGGGTTATGTTAGAAAAGGAAGCAAGAATGCTTTTCAGAGGGAATGACAGGAAACAATACTTAACGTTTGCACCACTCTGCTAATTAGACTAAGCAAGAGGAAAGTATTCGCTGTTCTGAGAGTTCCCTGGTAGAAATGCATGGTAAAGATCTGTCTAATGCTGTTGTCAAGCTTTTATCTGCTTGAAAGTTTTGGTAGGGCTTTGCTTTATTGAATGTGCCTATTTAGATTCTTCATGTGCCAAGTAACTTTTTAGTCAGCAGTGCTGTTGCTGTTCGCTGCTTACAGCAATGCTGATAAGTTTAGGGTTTGTTACTTGTTGTGGCCTTGGTT